ACATACACTTCGATATGCTCACCATCTTAATCAGAACCTGGATCAGATTAAATTCTCTATACCCTTGGTTTGGGTAAGAACTCTAAGAAAAGGGTCTTAAGGAAGGAGATTGGGTGGTGGGGTTCTAGCCAGATGGTCAAGAGATGGTGGGTCAAGTGGTACACAATCTCCGACAAGGCTCTCTCATAGATATTTTCAAAATGAACAGAGATCATATTTCAACTCGATTTCCTTCATATCTAGTTGTTTTTTTTCCTTTTCATACCTCTACCGAGTTAGAGTCCTTTATATCTCCGCTATAAAGGGTTGAAAAGTTTTTCATCCAGAGTTTCCTGTCCCAAAACTTCCAATAGATCCGGCAGAATGGGTTTGGCAAACTAGCAAGAGGGGCAGACCAAGGACCCTACAGTCAATCACAGTGAAGGCGGCATACAAACTGCTACGACCAAAGGTGGACATTGCAGAAATACTGCAAGAGAGATGGTCTAGGCACTTAAATTTAGACATAAATATACTCAAGGACATAAAATTTGTTAAAAATATAAGACAAAAACCAGCTAAAGGAGGCCCTTTGAAGAAAAACGCGAGGGGGGCCGCGCGAAATATGCGCTTACGAAGCGGTGATAGCGGCGGTGGCGGCGCCCGGTCGTYGGCAGCGACTGTGTAGGATGCAACGTCGGGGTACGCGGACGCTGATCTTTTCCACGAGGCGCCTACCCTGCCAGGCACCATAGCTGTGTGAGAGCTATGGCGACAATGCTTTGGCATAGCCTAGCCCTTGAGTGGGTAGAGAGTGCCTTGCACTCTTACGCCATGGCATCCTGGCAGCTCCGTACCTGACCTCCATACCAATTGTCATACCTAACAGGATCGCGATACCAAAGGAGTCGTCCTCCCCTCAAGCCTTCTGCTGGAAAGGGGGGGTTCCTTTTTTACCATCCATAGGCCATGCGCTGTATCTCATGACACGCCATTTCGACTGCCTCGACCACTTGGAAAGCATGGAAGGCGGAGCGGCGCATCTGGACGCAGTGGGAGAGCGTGCGGCTGCGGTGGCAGCGCTCCGACATGTCCAAGGGCTACAGCAAGTCTCGTTTGACCTATCTACATCGCAAGGCAATCTGAAGTTCATTTCACTCCATGTTCCTTTTCACTTAATTTGGTTGTAGTTTTGTCCTCTACGTCTTGTTTAGTTTTCTATTGTTGGTTCATGATGTAGTTTGAAGGTCGTGGTCTGTTGGTACTGAGCTCTTATGTATAACTGAGACATTATTGGAAACATCTACGCAACGCAGTTCCCTCGCGTGATTGATGGCCTTGGTCAGTCGCTTCGCGTCGAGGCTAGGACTTGGGATTTGTGCTTGATGTTGCGATTTTCCAGAAGCATTTATCCATGCACAGATTCTCGAGGTTCTTAAGCGCTCGGGCATGGTTGCAGTGGTTTAGGGTGATACTCCCAGGGTTGGGATGATATGCGTGAAGAGCAAACTAGAATTGTATCCATTGGGTGCGTGGTGGGAAACCCGTCTAGGCAACAAAGGCTCTTTACTGTGTTTTGGATAATGAGGACGAGAGGGTAACCCTACTGCTTATTTTTCCTTCTCAACTCTTAGTCATTGAGATTGCTCCTTTAGTTTGATAATATGTAGATTTTCAAAAATTTGATTGTCATAAAGCCCTGATGCCCTATGGGTAGCGGCGCCATCAGCGGGAGTGGGAGACTCACTAGTGGTGGTGGGAACGTTTCCCGGGCACCCTCGCATGATTGATGGCCTTGGTCAGTCGTTTCTCTTCGAGGCTAGGACTTGGGATTTGTGTCCATTGGGTGCGTGGTGGGAAACCCGTCTAGGCAACAAAGGCTCTTTACAGTGTTTTGGATAGTGAGGATGAGAGGGTAACCCTAATGCTTATTTTCTTCCCAGCTCTTAGCCAGTGAGATTGTTCCGTTAGTTTGATACTTCGTAGATTTTTGAAACTCTGATTGTCGTAAAGCCCTGAAGCTCTATGGGTGGCGGCGCTCCCAGTATCGTTCTTCTAATGGCGGTGTTGGATTGATTGATATGGTATTATCATGATGGTATCGTTTTGAAGATGATTTTTTAGGAATTTAGGGTTCTCTGTGTTGCCTTTCGTTTATCCTCAATTGTGAGTTGTAATCTTCTGTCCGTAGTCGATTGTTGTTCAACGCATACTACCGGCGGTAGTATTCCTCAGTGACAACGGCATTAGGCTCTTGGTGCGCTTTCTTTTGCGTGTTTCTTTTTTTTCTCGCGCTTTATGTGCGGAGTAATTGTTTTTGCCATTTCAAAATCTTGATTAGGTTTTTGTGCGGTCTTTTTTTTTTTTTTTTTTTCGCGCTTTATGTGCGGAGTAGTCGTTCCTGCGGTTTTGAAATCTTGCAGGTTTTAGGAGACCTGATTCAGTTAACTCGTCAACGGGACAGGGAGACTTACTAGTGGCGGTACACAGGGTCACCCATGCCTTGAGTGGTGTGGGGAGTGTGCTACGCTCGACTTTGTGTCACCGGGAAATCTTGCTCGTATCTTCTCTTCTCATATATTTTGTGGGCGCGGTTACACATTTTTCCCTCCTTTTGAATTCCCTAGGACTCTTTATATGTGGCTGTTCCGTTGGTTGTTTTCAATCGTTTATCTTTTGTAGACAATATTAATACGCTCAGTTTCAATTTTTGTTAAGATTAAATTCAGTATGTCCTTGGACTGAAATTTTAGAATTGCATTGTTTCTAAGAATTAAGTTTGCCTTTAAAAATAAAAATAAAAATAAAAACAAAAACCAGCTAAATTTGCCTCATTACAATGGCAAATTGCATATCACTGTTCCCCCAGGAACGATTGGATCATTGACCACTCTTCTTTGGAACAGAGAGGTTTAGCCTCTCCATGGTGCAGTTTTTGTTTGTCCACCTTCCCAGGGAGAAAACGTAGAGAAACCAGTGAGCACATTTTTATGCAATGCCCCGGTTCAGTACTTACATTGCGCAGGTGGGATTGCACATGACGAGAACTAACGGATCTAGACCGGCCTTGGGATTGGAAGGCTATCCTCCTAGGGTACTGGGTTCCACAGGACCTAAGGCTATCAAATTTCCAACTCAATTTTTTTGAAATCGGTAGGAAAGCGGTTTTATGGACACTATGGATACGAGGTGTGTTTTTGTACGTGAAGAAGTAAATCTGGAGGGACCAGAGATGATTAAACAAATTGTCCAATTTGCACAAACAGAGATCAGAGCCCAATGGGCGGCCGTCACAAATTGTCAACATAAAAAAAGACATCCAAAAGGCAATCCAGAACTTTACTATGGACTGGCCGGGGGGTTACTGGGGAAAACAGCCTGGGGGAGGTGATATGGCCAGGAGAAGGGGGGAGGGAGCAATCCTTCAAAAGGCACTTCCAGCTCATCTTCAAGGATTGGTTTACACTTCGTCTAGGAACTACTCTCAGAGCTCCAATCTTTTTTGCAGATCCATTTTCCCCTTCTGAGCTTGCCCTTGTAGAAATACAATGTGTTTGGCAGCAAAATTTGGCTTGGACGGGAGTCGACAAACTCAGGATAATCTTACGAGGGGCAATGATAGCTAGCGCTGAATGTTATTCCTGGCGGTCCCTACGGGACTGAAGAGGCAACTGTGGCTTGTCGGTTAACTGTGCTCATCCTTGAATGTTATCATAGGACGCTGGACCCGGTTTCCAGCACGTGATGCTCCCCACTAATAGACTGGAGCCACCTATGAATATAGCTAGGGGTACATGCTCTTATCATCACCCCTAACTGTGTTTTATGGGTGTTTTAAAAAAAAAAAAAAAAAAAAAAAAAAAAAAAAAAAAAAAAGGACTTGGGGTTCGGATGTGCGGGTCCATAGCCGCTGTGGAAGCACCCATTAACCGCCCGCCAGGTGATATGTTCCCATGTTGGTGGAGGCGGCGGAAGCACCAGTGGTAGGGTTTGTGCCGACTGGAGCAAAGTGTGCAAGAATTGTCGTGTCTGTGTGGGGTTGTGTGTGGTGTGTGCTGAGTTGGACACTACAGCCTTGCAGGGGCGGGTGGATATCATGACCAGTATGGTTCCACTCTTGAACACCGTGTCCTGGCTATAATGGTTAAGAGACTTGGCTCTTGTGGCCAACGGCGCTGGCTTGAATCCGTGCTTGCAAGGACTTTGGATCCATAGCCGAGATGTATCGGATTAATACTAATGCAAACCATAAAGCCTTGTTGCCGCTTGCACTTCTTACACTGCATAGAGCGCTGAAAGGCACGGGGGGTTGCATTGCATGACTTGCAAACTTTGCAAGTCATACATTTTTTTCCCTACGCTCCCAGCTGGGCCGCCCGGATCACCTCGTTTGCCCAGGCGGCCTCGACATGCAAGAACCAAAGAAGGCCCAGCAAAAAAAAAAAAAAAANAAAAAAAAAAAAAACCTATGTTATGCAGAAAAGTAAACTCAACAACTTTTGCCTCAGGGTGACATCGAAATTCATTACCAAATTTAAAATAAAAAATAAAATAACAAAAGGAACAAAGCGCTTTGGGGTAGTTTTCATAATCGACGAGCATTCGCTCTCACGCAGACTGCACAGTACGAGGAAGGTCTGTGGTATGGAGCGATCCATACCTTTTTTTCAATGTGGTTGTGCTGTGAGAAGTAATCCTCTACCACTGTAATTTATTTATTAAATTTTATTTCATATCAATTCTGAGGGCAACCAAGAGCTTGACACTAAGAGTCGAAATGATAACTCGACTCCGAATATTAGAAACACTAATGAAGTCGTCCTAAGAACCTACGATGTGAAAGAAATGTACGTGTGGCTGTAAATGCAGTCAGATACATTTACGATGTTGCGAGTGTGAGTACGGCCTCAGACAAACCACTTTTTAAAAGACCGTACAGGGTGTCCCTTTTTCCCTTTTCTAAATATTTTTGGGTAATCCTGCGATTGTCTGCAACGGCTCATGAAGCGTGTACACTGACAACCATACCAGGAGGATGGAGGGGAAGAAAGAGGACTGGAAGAAGAGTGAAGACGAGAAGAAAAGGAAGGCGGAGAAGGCAACGACGAAGGGGAAGTAGAAGGATGCGAAGAAGAGAAGAAGAAGTGGCGAAGAAGAAAAGAAGAAGGCGAACACGAAAGCAAAGGCGAAGGAGAAGGCGAGGCGAAAGCAAAGGCGAAGGCGAAGGCGAGGCGAAAGCAAAGGCGAAGGCGAAGGCGAAGAGAGCGAAGAAGAAGGCGAAGAGGAAGGCAAAGACGAAAGCAAAGAAGAAGGCAGTGAGGAAGGCGAAGAAGAAGGTGAAGAAGAAGGCGAAGAAGAAGGCGAAGAAGAAGGCGAAGAGGAAGGCAAAGAGGAAAGAGAAGAAGAAGGCGGAGAAGAAGAAGGCAGCGAGGAAGGCGAAGAAGGCAGGGGAGAAGGGCAAGGCGAAGGAGGAGGAGGAGGAGGAGGAGAAAGGAGGAGGAAAAGGAGGAGTAAGAAGAAGAAGGAGAAGAAGAAGGAAAAAAGAAGAAGAAGAAGAAGAAGAAGGAAGATGAAGAGGAGGAGGAGGAGGAGGAGGAAGAAGAAAACTCACCTTCACAAGAATGGCAATCCAGTATCCAGAAGGGGAGCGCAGTGACACTCACGATGATGGTGTCAACGATGGCATTGCAACTTGATGAAGGCAGCGACAGACGAGGTTGGCAGGGGAGACGCGCCAAGTTTCCCAGGATTCAAATTTGAGTACGGGTGTGCACACTCCCTTGTCCCTGCGGTCAGTCGGGGCCGTTGACCTACTGAGATCAACACCCCTGATAGAGGAAAGAAGTTCAAAGAACGTTAAAAAAATGCCGCAGAAAAT